AGGGGAGATGGCCTTACTTTGTGACTGGGGAACAAGCAAGGGCCAGATCACTTGCTCTAAGTTCATGCTTCACTGATCCGGATCTTACAGTGATTTCTCTGCTCGGACTGTTTCCTTTGCTTGAAAAATTACATATTTTTGCTCTCAGTTTTATGTCCTTTCTCAACCACAAACCCACCAACTCCAATGTCTGGAATGTTGAGTGACTATTTTTAGTGCTAATTGGAATAAAGAACTACAGGCTGAAGAAAGAGGGGACATCAAGGGCACTTTGCAATAAGCATCAAGAAGGAGAAGCAGGAGCCAGCTAGGGGAATTTTGTGATGAATCTCCAGGAGCAGACGTGCTTGGTCAGAACAAAGTGTGAGCACGAGCAGTGCTGCTGCTTTGGATCAGGGATCTCACCCAGCAGCGCTCGGACTAGATGTCCTTCAATCCCCTTTTTAGGAAACATTTTACATCATTTTAATGTGTACCAATGTTTTGCATGTACATGTGCACATGTGAGAGTCTGTGCATTGTCTGAGTATGGAACCCAGGGTCTTGCACATGATCTCTGCCACTTTGTAGCATCCCCAGCCATGTGAGTGGGTGTGTAGTAAGCTGGACAAACTTTACAGTGCAATGGAAATGCAAACAGAATGACCAGAACCAATGGCAAAGGACCGAGATCCCAGCTACTGGGCGGGGTGGGGGGTGGGGTAGAGGGGCTGCTGAGGGAGAATCATGGGTTCAAGGCTAACATGGAGTTCAAGGCCAGCCTGGGCAAGGCAGGAAACTCTTTTTGAGACAGAAAGAAAAAAGAGCTAGAGCTGCAGCCCAGTTCTAGAACTCTTGCCTAGAACGTGTGAGATCCTGGCTTGAATTACCAGTGCTACCGCAGAGATGGGAGACCGGGATCCTGCAGTTCTGGGGAGATGCATGATGAACAGAGTCCATTTGTACTTCGATGTGTGGTATGTCCTAAGTGCCCATCTTTGAATGCTGCCTGTATTCTTAGGAAGTCTAGTTCTTATACAAGGTCTTGAGTTTCTTGACCCAGTCTCCTGGGCCCTCGGGGCCACAGGGACGACATGCTGAGCTGACCTACATGGCTTGTGGCACTGAATCCATGTGTGCAGAGCTGACCCCACCCCTACTCTCCAGTTGCTCAGTCTAGAGAACCATAACTACACAAATGCCATTTATTCACTGACCAGGTGTGTGCTGAGAACAAGGAACTTCCCTGGGGAGCTGAGCTGGAGAAGGCTGGCTGGAAGTGACATCTAAGCAGGGTTCTCAGGGAGGAAAAGCTCTTCTGAGAAGAGAGAGGACATTCCTCACAGAAACACCAGCCCTGGCAAGAACCTAGGGGAATGAGATGTCATGGCTTGTCTGAGCCGAGGGAGCATGTGAGGCAGGAGATGCGAAGGAGTATAGGAGCCACGGTCCAGTGACAAGCCACTGGGCCTCGAGACAGCAAGGAGCCATCAGAGGATTTGGAGCCCCAGAGTGCTAGTAAATCTATTTTTAGAAAATTACTGGCTGAGGAATGATAAATGCCTAGAGAGAAGGGAGGTTTTGCAATCCCCCTAGAAGAGAGGGAAGGGTGTATCTGAGCTGGGCAGACACTGTGGGGCTGTGTCAGGGCTGGATGGCGATTGGTGCCAAGGGCAGGGAGGACTAGAGATTTGCAGCTGGTGTGAGTGGAAGGCAGGGGATGCCTCTGGGAGATCAGGTTTAGGATGAGGGTGAGGGTGGCTCTTAGGATTTCTTTAGATTGAGAACAATGCACTCATCCACACCACCCCCAATTGAGAAAGGCAGCCCTGTGAGTGGATGTAGCCCGGGACGCTGGGATCAGATCTTGATTCTCTGGCTTTCTGTTTGACCTTGAGCAATCGATGAACTCGGTGTCTCAATATTCACACTCGTAAAATATGGGGAGCCACGTCACACTAGTTAAGGAGTATAAAATAATGAGGTACTACATCATGGTAGTTAAGAGGCCAAGCATTAAATAATGGGGGTGCCATGTCATGTTAGGTAAGAGGCTGAGCAGCTCTCAGGAGCAGGGTCTTGGGATAGTAGGAAAGAGACAACTATTTGATGGCCTTGAAAGCCCAGTTCCCCTTTTTCTCTAAGAACTCAGAGTGGCCAGGCAGTGGTGGTACATGCTTTTTAGTCCCAGCACTCAGCAGGCAGAGGCAGGTGGATCTCTGTGAGTACAAGCCCAGCCTGGTTCTCAGAGTGAGTTCCAGGACAGCCAGGGCTACACAGAGAAATCCTGTCTTGAAAAAGAACTCAAACTGATTTAAAACCAACCCTCGAAGGACACAGATGAGTCTGTTCATTAAACAATGCCAAGTGTCCTGCAGTGGCTGATGGAGGGAGGAGCAGTTAGTGACATCCCCCCTTAGTCATTGCATGGTTGGAGCATCTACCGACAGCAGGGTTCTCTAAGGACCCACAATATATGATCCTGTACAAAGGGACGCAGGCAAGTCAACCTTGTTAAATGTGCCAAGTCGGATGTACTGTAGGTGCTGAGTAACTGAAAGTCAGGAGTATTCAGGTGCCAAGGAAGAGCCAGGGAGCAAGGTCAGGGAAGGAGGTGCAGGGTGAGGCACCAGAGAGAAGGTGCCAGCTGCAGGTCCTGGGAAGGCAGAGACATAGGGGGCACATGCAGGCAGTGGGCATCCCATCCACTCTGTTCTTCCTGCTGGGTGACTCTGGAACACTCCTGATCTGTGTGCCCCCTTCCTCCTGATGCAGGACTGCACTGTGCAAAGCATGTCAGCTAGACACAGGGACTGCTGAAACCATGGCACAAAAGGAGAGCTGAATTGGCCGTGGAGTAGAGAAGAGCTGGCTGCCCTGAGCCTGGAGGTTGAGGACAGAGTGGTCCAACAGGCCTTTCCAGAAAGATTTTTCTTCTGGTGTGAATTTCTAAGAAGAGAAAACTAGGAACATCTTCTATCCTCCTACTGCTTTAGCCTTGGGGGTAGTTTTCTTCCTAAGACACCTCTTCTTCCCTCCCTGTCTCTGTCTGGTATATGAAGACAAGCAAGCCAGTGAGTGAGCCCCGGGGATCTGCTTGTCTAGGCTCCCACCCAACACTAGAGTTACATCTGTGTACTAGGCTTTTTTACCTAGATGCTGGAGATCGGAACTCAGGTCCTCGTGCTTGTGCAGCAGTGTGGTGCTTGTGCAGCCCAATCCTGGGCGTTTTTAAATTAAGAAACTATCCTTTCTACTTCAGGTGAAATTTAATTACTTAATGCGAACAACAATGGTGACAAAAGGTAATTATATTGAAGTGGTAGTTTAGCTTTAAAAGGCCCTTGGGAGTCTCAGGAGCCACCCAGTTCCCTGCAAATATTCATAAGGCATGCACTGGTTGTTCCAAAAGGAAATAACTGTCCCAAAGAGCCAAGGACCATGTGAGCCAAGGCTCTTCATTCACAGTCTTCTCGGCCATGAGTATTAGCAGGTCAACCCCGCACACCGTAAGGCGGCAAACAATTGACCACACGCTAGGAGCTCCTTGAGTGCATTTTATAGGAGACAACTGTGTGAATTTACTCAGCTTTCAAGAACTCAGGCATTTTAAGTAAAAAACACAACAACAACAAAAACCCTCACCAGCTATACACTTGAGATAGAAATCTCCACTCTTAGCTATCTTCAGCATGCAAGGACCTCATGCAACTTTTACAGCAGCTGTGCTAGGAAACACTGCTCACAGTCTTCTGGAAGACTGGTTGCAGTATCTCTATGTGTGTACAGAGTCACGTATGTGCCAGTGAATGGGGCTGGGGTATGGGGATGAGAATTATAGGCACTCTACAGGCCAACTCACCATTTTCTGGCTGTCAGGGGTCAGCGGCCAGGTCCTGGGCTCTCCCCCTCCATTGCAGCTTTCAGAGTGGTTTCTCTTTTAAAGTTTCAATGGCAGGTAGCCTTGCTGAGGGCCCCCCAAAACCACACTTGAAGGGGACAGGCACTTCACCCACTCAGAAGCAGCAATGCAGTCCACAGTAATGCCCACTGCTCCTGAGCAATGGGAGCCAGGGCTGCAGGGAAACACTCCTTTTAATTTCAATGCCAGGCCTCAAACTGCCAAAGAACACACATAGTTCAGAGGGGTTACGACGAATAGACAGCAGCATGTTGGCATTCTGGCCAAGTTGTACCAGTGCACGTGGTCATGTTTGTGTACTAAAAAATGGTAACAGGGTCGAAGTTCATTGGAAAGATTAAAATGCAGAAGTGGGAGTTTTGCTGCATTGGTAGGCTGCCTTAGCTTTGACAACCTTTACATTTCTGAGACTGCCATGTGCTGCTCCAGATCCTGAGCCCCTGTGCCTAAGGCTCAGAGCACTTGACTGCCAAGTGAAGCGGGTCACCTGACCATCTTGAATCAGACTCCTTACTGGTTAGGTCGGAGCTGAGGACTGCCACGGTCCAACCGATGGAAAACATAAGATCTCAAGAAATCCAAGGCCATACAAAAGAAAACTCCAGAATGTCCCTCATGAATAGAGAACAAAGACTAATCAACAAAATTTTAGCATATTAGCTATGCCTGTAATCCCAGCTGGTTTAGGAGGCTGAGATAGGAGAATTAAGTTAAGGCTATCAAAATGTTGTCTCAAACAAATCTAAACATATTCCCAGAGATCAAACTTAATATATAAAACAGATGACAGGTCAAGGCTAAGTGAGAGGTAGCCCAGGGATGCAAGGTTGATTCAACATTTGAACTTCAGTCAATGTAAACTACCACATTAACTGACTAAAATGTGACCACCAGATCACCTCGAGAGATGTCAAAAAACATTTGTTCAAAAAGGACTAGATTCATTACTGATCTCTAAAACAAAACCCGAAACCAGCAAACGTAAAAAGAATTCCTCAGGCTTTGGCTTATATTTTCCCCAAAGCTTCCCCTGACAAACTGGGGATAAAAATTCTTCTCATGGCCTTGAATGACATGTCCCCTCTTCTGTCCCATCTCTTGCAGTCTCTCCCACCTGACACGCCCAGTAGCTGGCTGTTCTCGAATCTGTCAGCCCTAGTGCTTGGTGCCTATGTGATGGATCATCTTCCCTGAGGTGACACATCTTGTTCCCTCTGCTGTAGAGTTGGTCTCTCCTCTAATGTCACCTCTTTGGAAGGTCCCTCTCAATCGTGCTTGTCAGTCACCCCACTTGTTCCTGCTTGATTTCATTCCCCATAAGACAGACGTACTATCAGCTCAAGTCGATAATGGGGCCCTTAAAGCAGGCTGCTTGTTCAATGCTGTACCCCTGGTGCCTAGATCCTGACCAGAGCACAGCAGTTGTCAGCAGTTGCAAAGACAGTAACTCTGAATAGGAACGCTCAACTGTCAATATCCTCAGTGAGTGTGACACTTCTTTAAAACCCCCGCCAGTCTACTATGTGGGAAACTCTTCACTCTGAGTGAGGCTGAGGAGTAGGTCCTTTCAACTTGACTTTCAATTCCCCTAGCCTTTTACCTGTTGCTTTGTGAGCACCACTGTTAAATTAAATAAACTGTTCCTCTGCCTATTGTATGTTCAGATATATCACCCCAGTTTGCTGGTTGTCATGGCGATGCTGCTCATCTTCTCTTTGGACTTCCAGGTTTCAGGTAAGCTCAGGTCTTCCCCAGTCTCAGGACCATTGAAGCATCCATACCATTTCCTCAGAATCCTTACACATATGTGTGCATGAAGGCTTATGTCGTTTAGACCTTTGATCCCCCTGGGATTAACTTTATGAAGAGTAAGGAATAATCTAATATAACAAGTAAATTCAAAGCCAATCACATTGGTGCAGGCTTGTAATTCCTGATTCAAGATGGAGATGCATTGAGGCCAGCCTGGGCTACAATAGTGAGTTCCAGGCTAGCCTGAGCTATCCACTGAGTTCTAGGTCTGAATTACATGGCTAGTTGTAATCTTGGAAAAAGAAAGTTGAGCTTTAAAATCCAATGAATACAAGTTTCCAGGTATCATTTATGTAATGTTTTAATTTCCTGAAAAAAGCACTTATGAAAATAATTCAAAGTTCACCTATTTTACAATGCATATAAAGACACACGTAAAGCCCGGCATTGGTGGAACACACCTTTAATCCCAGCACTCGGGAGGTAGAGGCAGGCGGATCTCTGTGAGTTCCAGGCCAGCCTGGTCTCCAGAGCGAGTGCCAGGATAGGCTCCAAAGCTACACAGAGAAACCCTGTCTCGAAAAACAAACAAACAAAAAAACAACAACAAAAAAAAAACCCAACAACAACAACAAAACCCCCCCAAAAAAGACACATGTAAATATGTATGTGTGTGCAATAATGTATTTCCCACAATTCCCTGGACTGTGGCACTAAGATCCAATGTTATTCCTAGAGAACATCCTTCCACGTAAGCCCCTCTCTGGTTCTCAGTGTCTTCTTACTTTCTTGGGTCTTGATCTCTTTTTTGATTCATTGTATTTCTTTTCAAAAAGTTTCTTTTCAATTAAGCTCACTTCTTCATGGAGAATAGAAGTCTTTATTCTTAGTAAGAATGAGAAGATACTTAGTATAAACTGGTAACTCAGAGAAAAATTGGATTCTTCATACGTTGTCACATGTTTACAATAGCTAGAATGGGAAGGAAGAAAGGTAAGTTATCTTTAAATAGTAATTCAGAAACTGTGGCATCCATCCACTGACCACCCCAAAATCCCTTTGCCAGTAGATACAGTTAAGACAGTGTTATGAATTAAGGGAAAACTTGGGAAATTTGCTGCAGCTCCCTAATTATATGAAGAGAAAACTTTGTGTTCACAGTGTCCATGATTGCTAAGCTAGGGATAGGAGGGGGCTCACTGTACCAATCTCGATTTCTGAAATGTTTAAAGACAAGTAAACACCCATCCCTTGGCCATCATTCTGAGCAGTGTGATCCATGTGTATGTGTGGCCCTAAACTTCAGAGGGTTTGTCTGTTTGTTTTTTAAGGAATGAAAATCCACAATCCTAACTACACACAATTCCTAACTACACTCTTTTGGTCCTTGCATTCTCAGGTAAGTGTAGCCCTCGTCCTCATGGAAGAAACGTCTCTTTGCAATAGATGCAGGCCAGTCCAGAAAATCACAACCAATCAAAATGCAGAGGTGTGGAGCCTGCCTTAATGGATACATCTACAAGGCACTCCTGCACCTCAGGCTCAGTGCATATAGCAGAGGAGGGGGCAGAAGAGTGTAAGAGGAAGAGGACCAGGAGTTTCTATAGATGGTGTGTCCTAACATCAGGAGCTACATCATGAAGTCTCACAGACATGACTGTGTAAACAAGGACAACAACAGACATGACAAAGTGGATGGGGAGAAGAGGAGCCCATGAGGCCTCAACACCACACAAAGCACTTCAGGTAACTAAGGAATGCCGAGGGCAGGAAAACCAGTCCTCCCCAGGGAAGAGCACACCAGTTGGTTATCCAACAGCAAATGGTCAGCCCTGAAAACCATTTGGACGTACAAGTAACACTATATAGACTAATCAGGCTGTATTTATATATTTGGAAATATATATGTATGCATATACATACATGTATGTAACAATGAGAAAAGGGACAAGGCTGTGAATTTGAAAGACAGTAAACAAGGGTTTTGGAAAGGTCTGAAAGGAAGAAAGAGGCATGGCAAATGCCAGATTATGTTATAATCTCAAAGAAGTATAGAAGGTAACACTCTTCAGGCACAGCTGGTAATCTCATCATGCCTCATGCTTTTGGAGTTTGGGAAACATGTATACCTTTTGCAGAATTTTTGGGTACTGAGCCAATACAGTGAGTTCTTGGTTATCAAGGACTGGCCTTTTGTTCTCAGGAGTCCCTGAAGGCTGTGTCCATGGAAACAAGGGCTACCAGTGTCTCCTTCTGTCCAGTTGAACTGAAAACTCGAAGGGTCCTTCTTTTCAGCCACAGGTGTTGAACCAACCAGGGCACTAAACTGCTTTTGAAGATGCTCCACCATTTCTGCAGATGGAAGGCAGTGGCAAATGTCAATTCACAAGTAAAGTCTGCAGAATTCTAAAGTCTTCTAGAATGGACTAGTGTTGGTTTCTTAGCCTCTGGGGGTGGAGGTGGGGCAATCTGGCCTCCAACTCTGGAGCTGCCTCCCTCCCTCAGCCTCTTGAGTGCACACTCACACCTGGCTGGTTTCATAACCACAATAAGATGCGGGTAGCATTAGGTGAGGCTGGAGCTCCATGAGGGGCCTCAGGAAGTTACTTAACAATGATTTTAAAAGAGTACCAGACAGTCTCAGGGCAAGCTTCCGACAGCTCTCACAGTCACGGAAACAGATAATCTCAGATTTTGCTGGGCCCTTAAGCTCTGCTATGCAAAGGCAGGCAAGTTCCTGGAATGTGGATTTCTATGTGGTTTCTCCTTTGGAAGGAGACAGACATGAGAACATCCCACCGAGCATGTTCATGCTCTGGCTTTCCATGTGCAGATGCCTGGTCCTCCCAGACTGTACTAGACCTGGTACACGAAGGAAACCAGCAGACTCACCTCTTCTCTTATACATGACTGACTTGTCAATGTGTGAACGGTAGATTGGTCTTTTGGTTTTCCAAGAATATCTGCATAGGGCAGGAAAGAAGAAACAGAATGAGAGGCAAATGCCCAGACACACTTCAGAGATGGAATCAGGACCTGAAGCTCAGTGGCTCTGGGCACTTGTTTGCATTCTCTCGGTGCTTCCATGTTCCCAGTGACAGCCAGCCAGCTGCACTCTCCTCGTAGGAGTCCAGTTCCCTTTAGGAGAACTGTACAGAATACAGTATGACTGTTTCCATCACCACACACTCCCTTGCTGTTTACTCTCACTGCTGTTTCTCCTGTCTTCGCCCCAAATGCTCATCACCAAAGACTGTCCTTAGAAATCTGATTTCTCTTTCTTTCTTTCTTTCTTTTTTTTTTTTTTTGTTTTGTTTTTTGAGACAGGGTTTCTCTGTATTGTTTTGGAGCCTGTCCTGAAACTTGCTCTGTAGACCAGGCTGGCCTCAAACTCAGAGATCCACCTGCCTCTGCCTCCCAAGTGCTGGAATTAAAGGCGTGTACCATCATTGCCTGGCAGGTAGAAATCTGATTCAAAAATGCATATGAAATAGACAGTGAGTGTCGGTCTCTCTGGCACACGGTGCCTGGAAATCTACCCTCTTCCTGGTGAGGAGGAGGAGGAAAGGTCCAGATTCTAGCATGATAGACCTAAGAACATCCCTGTGCTCAGGCAACCTGATCTTGTCTAGGGAAGGCCAGCCACTGCAGAGGGGTGCTGGGCTGAGCTGGTCCACAGGGTCCCCCCACCCTAGGACATAGGCCAAGTGCTATCTAGCATTCCTGCAGGTGACTGGTGACCAGAAATGAATAGTGACATAACTATTTCTGGTCCAGGAAGTTAGGAAACTGCCCAGCAGAGGCTGCTGGTGTGGGACAGGACAATGATGTGCTTCTCAGCTTATGCCCATCCCTCTAGTGCTTCCTAAAGTAGGAGACTTCCAGAAACCGCATAAAAAATTCACCTCGATTCAAGCCACTAAAATATAGAGACACCAAGACATCAGACAAGGACACTGAGATCAGAGGGCTGGTTTGCTTCTGCAAGCATCCAGCAGCCCGAGTGACCACGGACACACAGTAAGCATTCAACTTAAGTGTTCGTTAATAATGGAATAGATGAATAAGTGAGCCAACAAACACAGTTAGCATCTGTACCATTTCCTACTCTTACAGGGTTGTTACAAGAGTAATTTGCATCATATTTGTGTGGCCTGGAGTGCTGGTTGTACACATCTTTAATCCCAGTGTTCAGAATGCAGAGGTGAGGTGAGTTCAAGCTAGCTAGGACTGCATGGTGAGACCCTGTCTCAAAAAAAAAAAAAAAAAAAAAGAAAGAAAGAAAGAAAAAAGTGATGTGCATGTTGCTATGCACTGCTAGGAATGGTGGTACAGGCCTGTAATCTCAATACTCAAGAGGTAGAAGAACCAGGAGTTCAAGGCTAGCCTGAGCTACATGATGAATTTGGTCCAATCAGGGTTACATGAGATTCTATTTTAATAACAAGAAAAAAAGAACATCAAATTACACTGCACAAACCCTATGCAGTCACTAGATGTGGCAAATCTAGTGCCTGTCTCAGAGGTACTTATTAAACACCCAGAACTTTCTAGAAAAGACACTAAGGAGCAGGAAGCCAGAAACATAAATGTCTCCATTTGCCTGTAAAACTTAACAATTGGCAATCTCCCCTCAATGTTAAGGGTTAGTTAAGAAAATATATTTACACATAGACTGTTTAGTAGTGTTAGGATTAAGTAACAAATATTACTTTACCCAATTTAAAGAACTGAGATTTTTCTCAAAGATTAAAAAATCTTTAACCCAAGCATTCAGGAGGCTGAGGCAGGTGGATTTCTGAGTTTGAGGCCATCCTGGCTACAAAGCCAGTTCTAGGACAGCCAGAGCTACACCGAGAAACCCTGTCTTGAAACAAACAAACAAACAAACAACAATAAAGCATCAGTGAGGTGGTCATTTAGCTCTACTGTGAGGTTGTGATTCTCTAAGATGGCTTTTTAAATTGTCACTTATTTTCTTAAGTGATAAGTGTAACAAGTACCCTAGAGGGTCATGTCCCCAGGAACACCCACTCTAAACTGTCCTAAGGAGTTGGGTCTAGACAGGTGTTTCTTGTGCACTGATAATGAAGGCCTACTCAAGTGGCCACCACCATAATCAAGGAGGCATTACTACCACCCCAGGCCACAAGCCCCCAAATGGGACAGGGACTGAAGATCACAAAGTTCCAAATGTTTGGGCACCTTCTGAAATGAAGTCTTCTCCAGACATCTGCCCTCCTCTGCCTGCTTCTCCCATTCCCCCAAGGTTCCCAAACAGACACACCACCAAGAACTTGGGTTCTAGTTAGACCCTATCTACATGCTTCCCTCACCTTTACATAGTTTGTTTCACTGTTTGAAAAAAAAAAAAAAGGATCAAGGTATAATTTACATATAATGAAACTCCTTTCAGGGCACTTCCAATTAGCATTCACACACAGCTGTGTAATCACCACTGTGACTCATACAAGTCCCTTTGTAGTCGATCCTTCCCACACCCTTGATCTTGGACAGCCACCATCTTTACCCTGTAAGTGTGGCCATTTTGAGAATTTGATATAAACAGACTCATAAGGGTGTGCAGCCAATGGGTCCTCTGTTTAGTGTCTAAGACTCACTGCTGGCTGGCTCAGAGGCTTTGGTTTGTATTCTCAGTGAGCTATGTGGCATAGACATGCTAGTTACTCTGTCTCATAATTAGCTAAGTCACAACAAACATTTCTATATAAACTTCTGTGGGAGCATAAATTTTCATTTCACTTGGACTTTTCAAAGTAGCTGTACCATTTTATACTCCTGTGCTTGGCATGCGCAATTGTAGTTTGAAAGTGGACCCCTTTCTCATTACAGTAGGCATCTTTGCTTGTGTATCCTGTACATCTTCAGTTTTTTCATTTGAAAAATTGAGTTGTTTTCCTATTTTTATGAATTCTTTATATTTTGTAGATAAGCATCCTTAATCATATATGTGATCTTCAACTACGCTCTTTGCCATCCTCCCCCACAGGGTCTTACTATATAACCCTGGCTGTCCTGGAACTCACTCTGTAGACCAGGCTGGCCTTGAACTCAGAGATCTGCCTGCCTCTGCCTTTTGAGTGCTGGGATTAAAGGCCTGCACCACTATGCCCAGATTTCAATTGCTTTCTCTAAGTCTAGGTTTTGTTTTCTCTTAAGCACCTTTGGAGAAATTTTCCCCTCTACAGTCCAGTTCACCAATTTTTTTTTATGGATTATGCTTTTGATGTTGTACCTAAGAAATTTTTGCCTAACCCAATAGACCAGCTAGTCTTTTCTTTCCCTCTCATCTTCCCTCCCTCTCTTCTTCCTTTGTTTGCACATACACGCGTGTGTGTGTGTGTGTGTGTGTGTGTGTGTGTGTGTGTGTGTAGGCCAATGGTCAACCTCAGGAGCCGTTTCTCGGTTTTTTTTTTTTTTTTTTTTTTTTGAGACAGGGTCTCTCACAGGGACCTGGGGCTTGCTGATTAGGCTAGACTCGCCAGCCCTCCAGCCCGAAGGGTCCCCCTGTCTGTTTCCCCAGTGCTGGGATTCCAGGTGTGTACTCACCACACCTAGCCTTTTACATAGGCACTGGGGATTGAACTGATGTCCTAATGCTTGCTGGCTGTGCCATCTCCCCCAGCCCAACAATGAGTTCTACATGTGCCTTTAAATTTTCATCCAGGTTTTTCTCAACCCTGTGGTAAGTTGGCAGCTATTAAAGCAGCCTAATAAGCTGGTTTTTCATGATCTCATTCGAAGTACCATGATTAACTTCAGACAATGTGTTAATGACCATCTGACAGCCCAAAAGATGATGCCTAGACCAACAGGGAGGCCTGGGTTCCATCCCAAGTAATAAACAAACAAACAAACAAACAAATAAATAATCCATACTGCAGTGTCAGAATCAGTTGCACATCTCAAAGTACTGGCATTTAGCTATATTAGGGGAATATTTTGCAGCTAAAAGGAGTAAGTCTATTTATAAAAATCCATTTTCCGGGCTGGAGAGATGGCTCAGAGGTTAAGAGCACTGACTGCTCTTCCAGAGGTCCTAAGTTCAATTCCCAACAACCACATGGTGGCTCACAACCATCGTTATGAGATCTGGTGCCCTCTTCTGGTGTGCCGATATACATGGAAGCAGAATGT